CACAAGCATTAGTCTAGGAATGGATTGTTTTAAAGGCAGTACTATCAACTCTGATGTCCCAAGTGACAGCAAAATCTTAGGGCTTGTTTAATAGGTGGTAATTAACTAGAATTTCTTAATCTGCCATGAGGAAGCCTTCAAAAGGAAACGAATGTGGGCATTATATAATCCCCTCTAATTTGAGTGATACAGTTTTGTGTTTTGTTTATGAAATGTATCACAGATTATTCTACACTTGAGGCTGCGTGCAGGAGCCTACGAGAGACAATTTTCTGTCAGAGAAGAATACCAGCTTTTTGTGTTCTTGAAAGAGGAATGCGATGATAAAGCAAAACCTCGAAATACTGCAAATGTTATTTACTTTCACTTGTTATATAAAAGAGAAAACAAACTTACATTGTAAGGTTTGATTGTCTGACTTAAAATATCTAAAAACAAACAAAAGAAATCATAAATGTAAAAGTGAGTGGCATTATGTCTTCAGTTTTATTCAGCACAAACCCAGCACCAGCTGCTTCTGCTGAAGAAATTGCCTTATACAAAGTAAAAGAAACAAAGTAACCAAGAAGTTCCTGCAGTTGTCCCTCAAAAAGCAGAATTCAGTTTTTCTCACTTCTCCTGAGAAGTTTACATTACACTGTTTTGTGTTGCATGCTTTTGTAAAATGACATTACGGATATGAGTTTTGTTCATGCAGAAACCTGAACGCACCAGGAGGCCCTGCTGTCTGCTTCACGAGCATGACAACAAGTATGTACCTGTTGTGAACTCAAGCACCAGTGTCCAAGGAAAATAATCCCTGGTGAATGCTCTTTACAAACAGTGTCAAGCAAAAATGGGGACTAAAAAATAAACTTAGGAGAAAAAGTGTAAAATGGATGATGCCTCTTAAATTTGTAAGCACATACCAATGGAGTTCTCCCTGGAGCACAGCTTGCATTTCTGCACCATAGTGGCACTTCCTCTGCCTCCTTTCAGGGGAGCGCTGTCCTAAAAACCATGACAACAGAGGCATCATTTTTAACTGTGGTCTAGCTGAGCCACTGGAAACCTCTGCAAAGGTAAAATAGTTTTTACAACAGTGGTCTTAAACTTTTTTAAAATATTGCAACAAGAAGGCTTTTTTTTAAACTAGAGAGCTCTGTAATTCAGAAAACTGTGATTATCAAAGAGTATTTCTGTTCTAGACTTAAAATAGAGAATAATGGATAGTTATGTCTTGTCTATAAAGGCATGTTCCATTAATTCCTCAAAATACATTCTTACCATTCAGTAGTATGCAACAGAAGGGTGATTATGCCTAAGAACAGAACCCTCTGTTGCTCCTGACAAATTTTATCCTGCTTTTTCAGTTTCTCAATGCTAATTTAGCATGCTTAACTCACCTTGAATTACCTAAACTTCTCCAAAAAGATGTCATCGGCATCAGAGAAATATGCTACAGGCACAACCTTAGTCTGATACCAATTCAAAATTCGTCTTCAAATTATATTTTTACAGAAAGGCAGCTTTTCAAAGCAGACGTAAATACTTTGTCACCAACAGTCACCATTCCAATGAACACTCTCCAAATATTTTTTTTTAATATGGAATATGACAGCATTTCCTGAATGCATATAGCTATTAAAGTACTATCTCATCTAAAGTGCAAGCCGTCATGTCCCTGATGCTAGTATCTCTTGCGTGTGAGAGGCAGGTTTGTTTTCTTGTTTTCATTCTGATGCAGGTTACAACAGTGAAACATACCATCAATCGCAGATACTGCCATTTTTCAGAAACTTCACCACAGTTCCCACATTTCAGCTGAAAAATAAACATAAATCAGAGAATTTAAAGCTGTCAATAATCGTGGATTAAAAAGCTGAAGGAGCTGATGTGAGCCCCCCAGACTCACCAACCCCACTGTTTCAGAGCTGAAAGGAGCCGGAGGCCAGTACGCGGTGCTGTCTGTCCCGACAGGCCCGAGAGCTGACTCGACCCGGCGGGTATGCCCGCCGCGGGGAGTCTGCCCTTCGGCGCATTGGATGGAAAATGTGTTACAAAGCACGGGCATGAAATAAAAGACGGGAACAGTGCATCTCGCCATTTACCTGGGTTAGCTGCCAATGGATACTCCATTAACAACCACCGCACCAGCGGAGGCACTGACCAACACGTGAACTTAAGCCTTTTAATTATTGCAAACTAACGTGTAATGTCACACATGTACTGACGTACACATGTCTACGTATACGCACATTCGCCGCTGCTGTAGCAGCCTGCTTGCACCGTGGGAAATACCACATTGCTTTTTAAGCCGACCGATGTGACACGCGGCCCCGCAGGCCTTCCTCGCCCCGCTGGACAGGCCCTTAACACCGGGAACGGCGCCTCCCTGCTCCCGGCGCCCCGCGGCGCCCCCGCCGCCGCCGCACCTTGAGGTACCAGCGGAAGTCCTCCCCCACCGCCCGCACGC